AATAAGAAGTATGCATGACATTGCTGAATCACTCAATATCAAAAGGTGCTGGATGTTTAGAACCAATTATTCACTACGTGCAACCTTCCTTAAATCCAAATATTGCAAAAGGTCTCATCCAGTATCTAAAATCCCTAACTCCTCAGACTCTCACGGTTGGAAGAGCTTGATGAAGAGTAGGAGCAAGGCAGAGCCTAAAATCATCTGAAAAATACAATCTGGTAACTCTAGAATTTGGTGGGACAACTGGATTGGTGAGGGAGCCTTAGCTAGAATCATTCAAGGCCTTGGAAAATCCGCTAAAGTTACTGTTAATGACTTCATTTTTAATGGCGACTGGGACATCAACAAGCTGTCCATAGTAGTTCCTGATCATCTTATTGGTAAGATCACTAGTGTGGACAATGGAGACCAGAATCTAAATGATTTCCTCGTATGAAAAGTTTCAGAAAATGGTCTTTTCTCTAACAAAACTACATGGCATTTATTAGAATGCACAAGCAGAACAATGATTTTCTCAGCAAAGAATGTCACAATTCTATCCCTTTCAAATTGTCCTTTTTAAGCTAGAGAATTTTCAAAAAAATATTACCCTTTGATGACATCATAGGGAAATTTGGTACTAACATTATTTCTAGATGTTCCTATAGTAATAGTTCACAGGTTGAATCAGTGCAACATATTTTCACTGGAAGCGGCGTAGCAGAATTCGTATGGAATGCAATTGGACAACCATTGGGATTGAAACATCAACAAAAACCAGTCATTGTAACTTTCAAAAGATGGTGGGAGATGAAGACTAACAATACAATTCATAAACTGGTCCTGCAAGTGGCACCTATTATCATTTGTTGGGAAATATGGAAACAATGGACTTTATGCAGATATGGAAACAAAAACAAATTTCATCACAATAACATGAAGTATCAACGCATTTGGAACCTAAAGATGGTGCTGATAAGCAAGCTGCCAGAAATGGAGAGAGGTCTACAGTGGCCAGCTCTATGTGTAAAGATCGAGAGATTGCAACCAATTCGAATTTGGAAGCAAGTCATCTAGGAATTTCCTCCAACGACCTCAATCAACGTAAACACTGATAGAAGTTTTATTAAAGAGAGTGGTAGAGCAGGAATTGGAGGTATTGTGAGGGACAACATAGGTGATTTAAAACCATGGCCTTCTTTGTCCCAGTTACTAGTACAAGAAACAATATGACTAAAGCATTAGCAGCTAAGTTTGGAGTGAAATGGTGCAAACAGCAGGGATACACTAATTTCATTCTCGAACTTGACTCCTTGATCATTGCCAATATGCTAATCAACAAGGCTACTAACTTTAAGATCGAGCAGATTTTGAACAAAATATTAAGCAATATTGGCGAGGCAAACATAAGAGTAAACCATTGATTTAGAGAAGGCAACTTGGTAGCTGATAGCTTAGCCAAAGTAGCTTCCTCTTCCCGTCAGAGACTATTATGCCACAACTTTCCACAACTACCTACTGAGCAAAAAGTGTGTTCCTATTAGATAAGTGGCAATTTCCCAGTTTTCGATCAAAATATGACAAAGCCAATTTTTTTGTTAGTTAATATATATGGCCCTATTGTTTCCTTCCAACTGGTTTTGGGTGATTATGTCACCTAGTTGTATTTATCTCTTGAGGTAAGGTCTAGCCCCCCTCGATGTACTCCTTTTGTAAATACAACCCAATCCAGATATGAATCTGGATAACCGCATTAAAAAAAGGTCCAGCAAGATGAATATATATCCTTTCATGAGTACAAATGTAAATTAAACTATACTTCATGAACCTGCTCTTTCATTTTGCAAGCTCGCTCGCTTATTGTAATAACAATTAGCACAACATAGCAAACAAATGATAATAAAAGAAAATTGATGCAAACACAAAATGACTGACATAACAAAAGGCTGAAATAGGCATTTGGGGACGTTGGATTAGCAAGTGAAGCCATTAGGAGGATTCCTTCCGCAGTTGTTGAGAACAAGGCTAAGAGAGAGTGGCACATTCAGGTTTATTCCCAGCACGTTTGCCCTTATGGCTGTGCACAAGCAAACTGCCGCCTCTAAATCCGCCAGCCCAGTGATCAAGCTGCAGCATGGCATCGTTGGAGGAGTCCCAATTACTGCGCCCACCAATCCACCAACTAAACTTGCGCATACACCCAACTTCAGAGCATCTCTCGGGCACCTGCCTTGTCCATTGCCACCTCCGCAGCCATTGCCCGAACCTCCTCCGTTGCCAAAGCCGCCGCCATTGCCCGAGCCACCAGTATTACCACTATTTCCACCGCCATTACCGGTGCTAGGAGAATTATAATGACACGAGCCACAATCGGTTCCACTGGCTATGGCAAAGAAAAGGAGATTGAAGGAGAGGAAAAGGGTAATTGAGGCTCTTGCTTTGGAAGCCATGTTATAAGGAAGTTAAGGCAGAATGTACTTCCTACAAAAATTGTAGAAGTAATTGCAAAGATGAGATGGTATAAGTCTGGTACTAATGCAGGGTATTTATACTGCAAGAGGAGAATTTCGGAGATATTAAACTAGTAATGCGTGTTATGAAAAATAATTTCTCAAGGAAGGAAATTCTGACTCTTGAGCTAAATTATCACATTATTATTGATTAATTACAGCTCCTCCACTAGCTTCATAGCTAATACTAATACCTGTGATTTGAAATCTGCATGACATATATTTTAAGCCATGCCTGATGCCCCTTTCCTGTTTCCCACTACTTAACAAATTAACTTCCTCATAATTAGAACAACTTCAATGTCAACATACTTACTGGTAATCCCGTTCCTCCTTATATTATTCTTCACATTATTATTTTTTTAAATTGAAACCACCACATAGTGGTGGAGTTTATTAAAATGTTAATAACATACAAGATAGACTAATATGCAAATTTCAAACAAGAATTTCTAAGGATTTAGTAAAGATTACTCATTGATTTCATTTGTATTGGTTGTATTTTCTTGTACACCTCTAGTGTATATTATAAGGTTAATCCTAGTTGCTGCATGCGAAAATTTCTAGGCTCCTACAGGCAAATTCATCTTATGCATAATTAAAGTTGTAAGAACAAAGTCTCATGTGCTGATATCTTGGCCATGGCCGCTGGAGATGTCATTGCATTGGTAAACAAAATACACTTCCTAACTTGCTTCCCTATTCTTCTTTTGAACATTTTGTGTATTTGGTATTAGAAATCTTATGTAATAAATCTTATGCTAAATAAATCTAACATCACAGCTTGATAAATTAGAAAAAAAAATCTCATTTGGATTTATTTGCGGTACTACATAAAAACTTTATGCTGTTTGAAAAACAGTACTAATAAAACAAATTATGGAGTTGAAATCATGTAGTACTTGAGTAACAAATTGTCAATCTTAGTACTGAGAGAGATTTCAGCGTACATCAGAATTCAGACATGTCAACTGGGGAATGCTCATTCAGTGGAAAAAAAAAAGTGGAAACTTGCGAGGAGTCATATATCGCTTGTCAAATTAGGCATCTGTCCAATTGGAGTATGACTGAGTCAGTAAAAACGGTTACCATGTATATCTTTCAAGAAGCTATGTTCAGCCATCAAGAAGTTCTATCGGAAATGTATTAAGATCAGGAGTCCGTGCTCTTGTGTCTTTCTGAAAATGGATACATTTTATTTTACTGCTCTGCGAATGAGTAAAGATTTGTGGGCTTAGACCTGTTGACCCCTTGATCATTATATTATATTTTAAGAACAAGAGCTAGAATTTATGGCCTTGTGTTTTGGCTGCAACTGCCGGAGCATGTCGTGTGTGTACTGGTCAAGACGTGGACACATATTTTGCAGGTAAGTAAGCTACGAGCTAGGATATCCTCCTCCTATTATCAGTAGACTTGGTGAGCTCAATTTTGGTTCATGGAGTTCGTTGATTCCAGAATTTTGTCTTGTTATTCAGTATTTTTTAGAGGCTTTATAGACAGAGTCAGAACATAGTCATCATGGGTATCCAATTTGTATTATATTTGTTTTTCAATGTATTTAAGATAACAGAACAAATTTCTTTTCAGAATATTATTTTATTTAAAGATTCAGAAAAAAATTTGCTTTAAATTATATTGAATTGTTTTGAGATGCATTGCACAACAAAAACAGAACAGAACCGAATAGAAAAGCCAAGAAGCTTTGTTCGGTAAAGCTAAGGCACCGAGTGCCGGTTATGACTTGGTTAGTAGTCGGATCGTGACAGTATACTAGCATGTAGCTAATGAAGAAATCTTTTATCATTAGCCCATACAACTTGATGTTGTTTTAATCAATCAACTAAAGTAGCTAGCAGGACGTGACTATTGTTCAAACTTGAAATTTTTGCGAATTTTTCCTTAAAGTCACTTGACAAATCGAGATAGCCTACTTCGAACGCACTCCAATTTTTTTGAGTTTCGGAATTTCTAAATTGATACCATGAAAACTGCACATTTCTTTAGAAGAATCGACGTACAAATAATTTCCAAACAATCACAAAGATTATATTTAGGGAAGTAATTAATTTTGCCAAACAATTACAATTGCACACTTTAAGTATCTCCGAAACATTTATTTTTCTGATAGCTCATAGCTAGACTTGAGCGTTCCAAGTTATCTGGAAAAATTTCTCTTCACCATTTTCTTTGTTATATTATATTTTATTTTTCACTCTTTTTTTAGTGAAAAATTGGGCTAGGCAGCCATCTTACAACCATGGAGTAGTCAAAGAGAAGTCCAGCAAGATGCTGGTTAAATAGAAGAGGTAGTATATGCCTTAATAAACCTTTGAGTGCAAATGTGAAATCAACTACTTCACGAACCTGCTTTCATTTTGCAAGCTCACTCGCTTTTTTGCAATAACAATTAGCACAACATAGAACAAATGATCATAAAAGAAAATTGATGCAAAAACAAAACGACTGACATAACAAAGGCTGAAATAGGCATTTGGGTACGTCGGCTTAGCAAGTGAATCCAGTAGGAGGACTCCTTCCGCAGTTGTTGAGAACAAGGCTGAGAGAGAGTGGCACATTCAGATTTAATCCAAGCACATTGGCTCTTATGGCTGTGCACAAACAAACTGCCGCCTCTAAATCCGCCAGCCCCGCGATCAAACTGCAGCATGGCATCGTTGGAGGACTCCCAATTACCGCGCCCACCAATCCACCGACTAAATTTGCACATACACCGAACATCAGAGCATCTCTCGGGCACCTGGCTTGTCCATTGCCACCTCCGCAGCAATTACTGGAACCTCCTCCGTTGCCCGAGCCACCAGTATTGCCACCACCATTACCGGTGCTAGGAGGATTATAATGACAAGAGCCACAATCAGTTCCACTGACTATGGCAAAGAAAAGGAGATTCAAGGAGAGGAAAAGGGTAACTGAGGCACTTGTTTTGGAAGCCATATTGTTATAAGGAATATAAGGCAAAATGTACTTCCTACAAAGATTGTAAAGGGAAGATGGTATAATTCTGGTACTAATGCAGGATATTTATACTGCAAGAAGAAAGTTTACGGAGATATTAAACTAGTAATGTCACAACCCTAAATTCCTCGGAAGGAGTCGTGATGACATCTAGTCTCTAAACTAGGTATGCTTAACATTAACTGACATTACATTGATATTTTCTAACTTTAAATTAAATAAGTACAAGTCATAAGTCTTTCTAAGAGTAGTTATACAAAATAAATATGTCACTGATCCGGACAAAAATGACCAATGAAAATAAGTACAACCGAAGGTGATTCCGAGGCATGCGAACGGAGTAGCAGGTTTACCTTGAGTCTCCACCGCGACGAATGCACAGCTACTATCGATCAATATCTGGATCTGTACACAAAAGTGTACAGAAGTGTAGTATGAGCATACCACAGCGGTGCCTAGTAAGTATCAAGACTAACCTCGGTGGAGTAGTGACGAGGAACAGTCAAGACACTTACTGGTCAAATAAATGAACAAGATATGATAATAAACTACTAAGATAAAGGTAACAAAGTAATGTCAACAGCAGGAAGAAAACAAACTACAATCAGTAGAAACAATAAAAGGAAAACACGATGGAAACGAAAGATAACCAAGTAAATCAACACTAACATAGTTAGGACACAGACAAGTAAAATGTACTCAAATAAGGGAGGCAATGTCAACTCAATCAATCATATCATTTCTGATGCACAATTCCAGCCATCTCAGAACTCTATGTCTCATATTATAACCTCAATTTCCAAACCTTTAGCACACTCGACACCTTATGCCCACATTTTCTATCTCACTTTGTACAACAACATCCTCATGTTACTCAATACATAGGGTCCATAACCAACGCAATTAAGATGTTCAAGGAGTCTCATTTACATAACATAAAGTAGAGTACAATCTCTAAACCAATTAGGAAATCAGCAAGAAATGAAGTTATTTTTAGAATTCATTTAAATGAAGAAAGTTCCCTTTTCAATTAAAATACAATCATCGAATGAATTATTACCTTTAACAAAGGATTTAATAAATTAAAACTTAGTAGAAATTTCTTTTTAAATAAAATCAACCTCAGACGGTTTAAGAAAATTTAATGAGAAACTANTATATATATATCAAATTTAAAAAGTCATGCAAAGCAGCGTAGTATAAATTCCTTTATTTAAATCACGATACCACTAATAACTTAACGGGATAGGAGAAAAATGTTTTAACATGGTAAATTTACTTTAAAAATTATTTCACCAGAATAATAGTTTCGGGGAAAGAACTCAAGGAACAACGGCAAGTCAATAACTCGATGCCAATAACCCGATCTTCACGACTCAATGAAACCCGAAATACAAGTTGGCAAGTCTTAAATAATGAACTAGGATCTTCTCAATATTCAGCTATAACCAAACCCTAAATGAAATGTAAAACCATCGGATAACTTGTACAATCAAAGAGGAATACATAAGCGCATATATATATTGATACGGCGCGCATCCCGATCCCACCAATCCTCCCTTATTCCTCCTCAACAATTACAATAAAGTAAATAGTATATATTTGTTGCGGCGTGCAACCCGATCCCACCGATCCTCCCTTATTCCTCGTTAACAATTACAATAAGAGTAAATAGTATTTATATCACCATATCAGTAACAACATGATCATTCACCCTTATTACTCCTTATTGCGGTGTGCAACCCGATCCCACCAGTCCACATTTATTACTCCTCAATATACGTCACCCTTATTCCTCATGTTGTGGCGCGCAACCTGATCCCACCTGTCTACCCTTATTACTCCTTGTTGCGGTGTGCAACCCGATCCCACCAGACAACATCAATTCTCCATTATTCCTCCTCAACATATCAACAACCAAATATAGTTTAAAATCAACAACAACAATTCAACAACCCAAACACAAGATTTCCACCACCAAAGGTATGAGTATACGACAACAAGAGAGTCACGGAGAAACCAAGAAGCACAACAACCTTTACAAACAACAAGACATATAAAGCACGTGATAACTATACCGGAAACCACAATAATTTGGACATATGGCATACATGCACGGGGTCATAGAGGAATTCACAATTAAGAGATAGCAAAACAATAAGGAGAACAATCACTTCATTAAGGCAAATAAGAGCCAAGTAACAAGTAAGAGTTAGAGGAAAGCAAACAACATCGTATGGAGCATATAGAGGTAAAACAACAATTAGAAAACCCAATCATATCGAAAAACTCCCCACTTAATGAACATAAGGACCTAAGATCCCTAAAGGCAAATTTCACACAAATAAGTCCAAGCACGCACTCGTCACCTCGCATGCACGAACTATAATTAGCATAGAAGACTCAAATCCTAAGTGGAATTCCCCCACACAAGGTTAGGCAAGATACTTACCTCAAAGACGACAAATTGATTTGTTGAAGTTAATTCTAAACGGGCTGAATTCCAGGACGGAGTTCTTGCTGCGACGGAGCATGAGGCTGCCACTACTGAAAAGTGACTCACTTAGAGGCAGCCTTGAACTCCAAAATCTAAGAGCTTGTTGTTGCGAGAGAAAACATGCCCAGTTGGAAGAGAAGCACCAGAAAACTATCGAGCATAACAGGCTTTGTAGTTCAACTTTCCGCGACCTTGATGTTAGTCTCAAATCTATTAAGTCTTCCCGGGAAAGCCTTTCTGCCGAGGTAACTCAACTCAAAGAAGAACTTAAGCACCGAGCGGCTTCCCTCTTCGTTGAAAAAACTTATTCCATGTACAGCATGAGGAGAAAAACTTGGAAGAGGCCAAAACAGGTATCATTGACTTTGATGCCAAAATTGCTAAGGTCTGAGAGCTTGAGTTGGATGCTAAAAATGGACTCTCGGCGTAGTCTGATGCTCCTGGTTCTTCTGGTTCCGGTTCTGAGTTTTTCAGAACTGAAGAGGAATCGGAAGGCGACGATGCTAAAGACCAAATTGGGGAAAATGTCGTGCCATCGGTGGATCCACCTACTTCTCCCCGGGGCGCGGATACTTCTCTTCCTCCTAGTTCCGGAGATGCTACAGTTTAGCTTTTCTTTTCTTTTTCCCATTCTTATAATTTTGCCATTTTGGCACGTTCTTGTAAATAAAGACATATTTTTTCTCAAGTATTGTTTGAGTCTTACTTTTGTTTGAATATCCATGCAAGTCTTTAACTTTTGCATTTGCTTAAGAATTCACTCATGTTTTTCTATTCGCGTTTTACTATGTCAAGTCTCGGATGCATTTTCCTCGAAGTGCTTTGGTTCCAAGCATTATCCCCTTTTACGTGGGGGTTTCTATAAGTATTTGTGCAAGTTTACTTTTTGTGTCCTTTCGTGTACATCTTCGAAAGTATTGTTCCCCAAAGGCATTTTGATTCTGGATATAAATTCTTCCGAAACCAACCCTTTAACATGAGGGGTTTTATAAGAGAGACCCTCTTATGTTTACGGTGCTCTTGAAGAGGACATCTCCTGTTCATTACGACACTAGCATTTGAAGTATTTATTTAACTTTCAAATGACAAAGTTAGTTCATTATTCAGATAAAAAACAAGATAAAAACAAAAGGATTTCATTTCATATAATTCCTTTTATTTTCAAAAGTGCACAAACATTTACTATGCTAAAAAGAAACTGCCATTACTTGTGGATGTGTTGTACAACTTGTTTCTACCGAGCTGGCTGCGCAGTCCCCGACCCCGATGATGCATTTATGTTTTTGGATTTTTGTTTCCCGGTTGCCATCGCAGTCAATATTGTCGTATCCTCATATCGTTCCCCCTAGTGTTCGAATGCGAAGAATGTGAATTGGAATACTGGAAGTCTTGTGCCTTCAAATATTCTACCAATGAACTGCTAGATAATCCTTAACTCGGCAACACACCATACTTCCCCTTAGGAATCCATGCTATCGAGCAAAAGACTATCTAACAATCCTCTAGCTATTTGTGCTCGTGAACGGTCGGGTAACCTTTGTTCGGAGCAAACTTAACTTCCAGTGGGAATTTGCTATCGAGCCAAAGATTATCTAATTGTCGCCGAGTGGAAGATTACTTGTTTTCCTTACTATCAAAAGTCTTATTGCTACTGTCTTCATAGTATGCATTCTATCACTGCCTTATTAAAAACCTTGCAAGAACAATCCAATTGGGACAAAAACTGAACGAAGGAAAAAGAGTGCAGCACATACATTCTGCTCGGATATTATTCATCATCAATAATGTCTTTTGAGGTGTGTCACGTTCTAGTTGCTAGGAAACTTGTCTCCATTCTGGTTCTCCAACTCGTATGAACCTTTCCAGTGATAGCTGAAATCTAGTAGGGATCTTCCCACGTCGGACCCAGCTTACCGTGTTGAGCTCCCGAATATTTTGAGTTACTTTCCTTAGAATCAAATCTCCTACTTTGAAATAACGGAGGTTGTTTCTTTGGTTATAATACCGCTTTATTCTCTACTTTTTAGCTAACATTCTTACACGCGCCAAGTCCCTGCGTCCCTCAAGTAGCTCTAAGTTGATCAACATTGCTTCGTTGTTCGACTCTTTATTTGCCTGGAGTGATTTTATGTTTCCAGTAGAGTGATTTTATGTTTCCAGTAGAGTGATTTTATGATTCAACTAGACACATTCATACTTAGCAGTTTATTAGCCCACTTAATACATCATAAACAGAAATCTAAACCACATCAATAAACTAAATGTTGAATATACAGTTACAGAAATTGAAATAACTTAGATTTCATGCTTCAATCCTTTCATATTTCAGCTCGCAACTATCAAAGGCAAAGACGTGTACCTGAAATTGGAATATAAATGAAGTAGAAGAGGTCAGCTACAACAATAACTCGAACAGCAACAACAGTAATCAATGCCCAGTAATATAGAACAACAAGCAGACCTAAGTGATAAACTAGAAATCCAGAAGTGTTTAAAACCAAACAGAATTGCC